CAAACCTGATGGCATTCAATACAGAGAAATGCAAGGTGCTTCACCTCAGGAATAAAACCCCATAGCACGCTTATAGGCTCAGCAGTGCTACACTCACTAGCACCACGACTGGAAGAGACTTGGGGGTCACGACTGACCACAAGACGAATAGGAGCCACCAATGCAATACCCCAGCTGGCAAAGTGAACAACACTCTGGCTTGTATCCACCGATGCATCTCGAGCAAGACCCAGGCAGTCGTCCTCCCGCTGTACTCGGCCTTGGCGAGGCCGCAGCGGGAGTGCTGCGTCCAGTTCTGGGCTCCACAGTTCAGGAAGGACATGGAGAAGCTTCAGAGAGTCCAGAGGAGCCACGCGCATGGCCAGAGGGCAGGAGGACAGGCCTTATGAAGAGAGGCTGAGCCACGGGGCTCTTCAGCCCGGAGAGGCGCAGGCTCTGGGGGGACCTGGTGGCTGCCTGTAAGTCCATCACGGGGGGCACCAGGATTGGGGGGAACGCCTGCTCACCAGAGCGCCCCGAGGGACGACAAGGTCGAACGGTCACAAACTCCTCCAAGACCGTTTCAGGCTGGACAGAAGGAAGAACTTCTTTGTTGTCCGAGCCCCCGAGGCCTGGATCGGACTGCCGCCGGAGGTGGTACAGGCACCTGCTCTGGACTCCTTTACGAAACGTCTGGACGTTTACCTTGCGCAGGGGTTACCTCCTGTGACCCCAGCTGCCTTCCTGCCCCTGGGGCGGGGGCTGGACTCCGTGATCCTCGGGGTCCCTTCCAGCCCGAATGTCCATGAATCTATGAAATCAGCCTGGCCCGGCCTGGGGGCTTTCGCCTCCCTCTGCAGCGGGGGCACAGCCTGGGCCTGGGTTCTCCCCAGCACCCACCACCCCCTGGTAGTTGCAGGCCTGGGGGTCTCAGTGTCCCTGGGCAATCGGCCTCGTGGCTGTACTGGGAGGGTGTCAGGACCAGGTCAGACCAGGCCGTGTCTGGGGGTGGGTCAGGATGGGGCTGGGCCTGCCGGGGACCCTGGGGTCCCAGCCAGCCTGGCCGCACTGTGATGCTGACACCCAGACCCACCTACCCCTCCCTGTCCCTGGTGCTGTTGTGCCGCCCATGCCCACGCCGTGGCCCTGCCTGGCCAGCCTCACTGCCCTGTACAAGGCGAGCGGCTCGGTGGTGCGGGGAGAGCAGTGGGTACAACAGACCCCAACATCTGCAGGGCATACGACCCGCGCTGCCCAAGGCCTGGCTGGACTCTCAGCAGGTCGAGCCCACGGGCCCCAACACACGTGGTGTAAGGGTGCACCCTCGGGCTCAGCACGCTACCATCAAGGGTGCAGAAGGGGTGTCCGGGGGTCCCCGGGGCTCTGTCCTGGCTCCCGTTTTGCTTGACATTGCCCTGAAAAACGGGATTGAATGGACACGTTGCAAACGAGCAGCCCCAAGCCAGGCCCAGGCTCTGCGGGACCGGGCTGGGTCCGGGACGACCTGGAGAGACTGGGTCAGTCTTCGCAGCCCTGGGGGGGTGATTGCAGAGAGGACGGAGCTGGGCTTTCCTCTGTGGCCGCAGGGGACGGGACAAGGAGCAACGCCTTCACTGCAGCCAGGGAAACTGCGGCAAGAGCTCAGGAGGAGCGGTCTGGGGCTCAGCCCGGAGCAGGCCCCAGGGGAGGTGGCGCAGCGCCAGCCCAGCTCTCACAGACACGGCCGACACCAGGGCTACTGCACACAGGTTTATTGCCCGACTAGCTCGGCGGGTGCCCACGCGGCGGCCCAGGTGGCTCCGGGGCCACGGCAGCACGGGGACCCGCGCCCTCTCCACCAGGACAGGGATGAGGCCCCTTCCCTGATCGATGGATCCAACACAAGAGGGGCTGCAGCCCCCTGCCCCCACCAGCCCTGCCCCGCCCCCCGCCCCGGAGCGATGCCCCCAGCCCCGTCCACCCGTCCTGCAGCAGTTGCCCCTTCCTCACTACGCACTACACACACAGGCCAGCGCGGGGACAGCATGCGCCAAGCCACGGGCACCGCGCATGCCGGGACAGCCAATCCGTCCCCGGGCGCTGGACACGGCTGAGCAGCAAGCGTGCTGCCCCCACCCCCGCGCCCAGCTGGGAAAGGGGTGCAGCGTGGCCAAGCGATGTTGTGGCTGGGACAGCCTCCGTGGCACCCGCCTGGGACCTGGTGCCCACGGCGTGGCCGGCTCAGATCACACCTGGGGAGAGACGACACCGTGAATGGTGCGGCACGGGGGGGCGGCAGGCCCCGTCCGGGGACCCCCA